CTCACCATGCCAGTAGTTGAGCTGCCTGTCTCTGTGTGTGTGTGTGTGTGTGTGTGTGTGTGTGTGTGTGTGTGTGTGTGTGTGTGTGTGTGCTGTTTCTATGCACAGTGGATAATTGTGCAGGGAGGCATGTGCCCTTTTCAGGGCGAGCTCACCATGCCAGTAGTTGAGCTGCCTGTCTCTGTCTCTGGGCCTGATGCTGCTGCCCATGTGGGACTAATGGTGCAAAAACACCCCAGAAAGATCTGAGGAGCCGGGCCTTGGGTGGGGGCACTGCTGATTCATCTGGACAGCCTATGGTCCACAAACAAATCATTTCTGCATGACTGTTAACTAAAGAACACGCTCATCAACACTCATATCAGCTGAGGTCTAACATGATGCAGGGTCACAGGAAATCTATTTTAGTTCTGTCTATTTTCTCTTCAACATTCACGTCTTTCACACCCAGGATGTTTGGCCACGCAAAGTCCTCCTACAGCTCCGAGGTCCACTGCTTATAAATAACATGAAGACCACGAGAAGCTGCTGCTGCAGATTCATCCAGGACAGGGCACATGTCCCTCCATCACAGCAACTTCCTCTGTCCAGGACTGAAGAGTCTGTAGTTCCAGGTTTGAAACTGCATCAGATGCTGTTTCTGCAGATAAATCTGACTCCCCTCTGTCCTGAAGCTCATGAGGGTCTCTGTTTGCTCACAGACAGATGTTTCAGTCACATTCATGAAAATATGAATGAAGTTGTGTTGTTCGTCTCAAGCCTGAACTCAAATAGCTTCTGGTCACCTCAGAACGGACCGAGACCAAGAGACTGAAGAGAGTCTAAGCTCATTTTTACTTCGATTTTAGCCCCTCTTTGTTTACAGAGATTTATCAAAAACACAAAAAGCCTTTCCRTGTTTCCTAAAGGAAACTCTGAATCCACACACAGCAGACAGTGATAAGCTCTTGGCTCTGTTCTCCTGATGGAGCGAAGTGTTGAAGACTTTACAGAGTCTGACTCCTGACCACAGATGTTCTGTTTGCTTCTAATGCTGGATGAAGCGAGTGAAAGAAATAACAGTTAAATAGAAATATTTGGTGTGAAATTTTTAAGTTTAAAGCGGTGCAATGTGGGCAATGTCCCCCCACCACTAAAAATAAAAAAATTAAAAACAATATAAAACTAGTTCCTCTGGATAGACAATCAATCTAAAACCGATGTTCTC